GGCCCACCGGTGGAGAATAGCATCATGATGCCACCGACGCTGGAGGAGATGAGCAGCCACCTCGGCAGTGCGGCCATGTGCCTTCCCGGCCCCAGCCCCAAGCACTTTTTGAGTGGGGCCAAGACCTCCTTCAGCCTGCAGGAGCTGGAGAGCCAGTTCGAAGAAACCCAGATGAAGCTCTTCAGGCGAGCCCAGCTGGACATGGAGAGGAATGCGGGCATCTTCGCCTTTGCCCTGGGCCATAACGAAAACCTCGCTGCCCAACCTTTCTTCCCACTCCCTGATCCTTGGAGCGCGGGGTTCAGCGGCTTGGCGGGGCTCGGCCACATGGCTCCCATCTCGGAGGCGAGCAATTAAACCCGTGCACAGTTTCACCATGGGTCCACTCCCTTCCCAACAGGGCGACCAGCTCCCTGATGCCTTTAGGATCATTTGGCTCCCAAGAAGCTCTTCATCCCTTTGCTGCCGTGGCCTGCCGTGGGGTTTGGGGCACGGGGACATCCCCGGGCTGAGTAGGTGGGTGGGTGGGTGCTGCGCCCTGTGGCCACCGGCACTTTAGACTCGGTGATGCACTTGGCTTTGGGGCCATAAGGCACTCGCTGACCCACTCAGTAACCCACTGCTCACATCTCCGTCTGGGAAGGCCAGGCCAGGACTGCTGCTGTCTCCAACGCTCCCGAAAATGTCACTTGCCTTAGTCCAGGGCATGGCCACCACCATGAGATGGCTCTTTTGGGGGAGATGTTCCCCATTTTCCATCTGCAGGGCCTGCTGGACACGGACAAGCTGTCCAGACTGGGTTTTGGTATGTTACATTCCTTGGCCCTTTTGGTCAAAAGGACTTTTTTTTTTTTTTTTCTTAAAAACTAATTCCCGTGTCTGGCAACAAAATTTATTCTACAAGGTATAAACGGGAGGGTAAAGCATCCACGTTGGGAAAGGGAGAATCTGAACATTGCCTTTCTCAGTGATATATCAGATTTGCATGGCTGCTGGGAGCCCTGCTGTGCAGGATGAGTTGGGACCCTAAAAAAAAAAAAAAAAAAAAAAAAATCGCCCAGGAACAAAACTGGGTGGAGAAATGGGGATTTTACTTACTTTGGTTCTCTGGACATTTCAAAATTTCAGAAGGAGAACCAAAGCCTATTTTGAGTATTTTAACTTAAGTTGCTTGAAAAGGTGAAGGAAAATTTTTGGAAGGATCAGAAATGTTTCGATTTTGAGCTTTTATTAAACCCTTGCTTTGCGAAAATAAACCATGTGGGAATTTTTAAATTAAAAAGTAGTTTCAAACCAAAGAGTCAGAATTTGCCGCTGCTGACTGTTCTGAAATGTCTGGGGTTTTGTCCTTAACTCCCCCCAATACCTATATATATTTTGATGATAAAAAAATTCACGAAACACTTGAGTTCCCCACTTGATGGGGAAAAAATTAGTTGTGCAAATATCCCTGCTGCTTGTCTCAAGGGATCTTTGTGGAAAATACGTCCACTAAAGATGTCTTGCAGATGAGATTGCCTCCTTGCAAGCAAGCAGAAATACTATTTCTTCACCATTTGATGGTTCAAAAGATGAGGCGGTAACATATGATGGGGTGCTCCAAGCTGGAGGTTGCCCATGGTGGCCACCAGGTCTGAGGTCCTCCCCCAGCATCCCCGCAGACCCTGGGCTGGCCACCCCTATATAATATTTCTTTTTGAGACCAAAAAAGTGGCAGATTGGCTGAAATCGCCACGTCAGCCTCCTTCAGCCCCTAAAAACATGAGCTGCTCTCGAGGATAAAGGCTTTTGATGGCCATCTGCCTTTGATGGCTCCTTTTAGATGTGGTGGGACCCCGGTTTCACCACCGAGATATAGCTTGCGGTGGGTGCCCTGGGAAGCTGGTTTTACAGGAAACCAGCTCTCAAAAATGTAAATGTTACAAATTAGGGCTTTTTCTTTCTTTTTTTTTTTTTTACTGATACCTTTCAATGTCAGCAGAAACAAGGGGAACGAGAGGAATGCAGGTTCATCAGTTTTTTTGGTTTGCCCATCAATGGTGTCACTCTGAAGCTGTGGCTGGATGAGGGTCTCCCCACCGGAGCATGGAGGGGACACAAGGGAGTCCAGAATCCACAGCCCCCCATGAGGGCATGAAGGACTTCTGCTCTGAGACCATCTGTAGCAGAATTGTGCCAAGGAACTGCCCGACACTCGCTTCCTCCTCCAAAAAGAAATCCACAAAGACTCCGTGTGCAACAAGTCAATGGAGTAAAAGAAAAAAAAAAGATTGCTTCTCGAAACCGCATCGAACTTTTTTAATCCATATCAACTTCTTACACAAGCAACGTTTTGCAGATGACCGGTTACTTCAGGTGGTTTTTTTGTCTAAGATTTGGAGTCATTGTAAGGTATCCAAAGATGCTGAGTACTGTATAATCTACAAGGACTTGAAGCAAGGTGGTTTTTCTGTCTCGATTTGTTTGTTGGGTTGATTGGGGATTTTTTTCCTATTTGTCTAGGGGGGAAAAACCTTTGCAATTTTTCTATTTATAACTATTTTTATGTGATTGCTTTATGTACAAAACAATGGAAAAAATCAAAACAAAAAAGGAGAGAGAAACATACACACACACAAACAAAATTGCCTTAGTTACTCACGGGACAATCACCCTTAACTTTCATTGATGCCAGAAAGTGGATGGAAAAAAAAAGAGACGAGATCATTTTCTGTATTTATTAGACTGTATTAATTGATGCTCTTAAATTATCAGCAGGACTTGGTTCTCTTGCCTGTGGCCATGCTGAGAAGGCTAAGCCACTGCAGATGCTGAGCTGCCTCCCTCCTCGGGCCGGCGCGGCCATCCCCATGGCCTCAGGTATACGGATGTTTGCCGGACACACAAATTTGGTGCTTTCCAAATGCACCTTTTGGGAAGCCAAAGTAATCATGCATTAATTAAGCATCTAGCTGGTACAGGCTCCCATCCGAGGGAGCTGTTGGCATTGCGATGCTGATGACAATTAACAAGTTAAGGTTGATTTTCCCGCGTTGCACTGGGTTGGGTTGGATGGAGCTGGGTGCTAGGGGCGATCATGTTTTGGGGCGGGGAGGGAGGACTAGAGAAAACCCTGTTTCTTCCCATTTTGATGTTGTGCGGTGACTCCAGGCCACAGGTATCCACGTGTGAGCCCAGCGAAGCGTGAAGGTGCCTTCTCGGGGCTCTGATCCCCTTCCCTAGCCCCGGCGGGTGTGATGAGCACCAATCTCTATGGGGTATGTGCATAAATCTATGGGGCCGGATGGGGTACATCCTAGGGTACTGAGAGAACTGGCAGGGGGGCTCACCAAGCCACTGTCCATCATTTATCAGCAGTCCTGGCTGACTGGGGAGGTCCCATCACGTTGGAAGTCACCCAATATAACACCCATATATAAGAAGGGATGGAAGAAATTACAGGCCTGTCAGTTCGGCTTCCGTGCCAGGGAAGCTGATGGAGCAGATCATCCCGAGTTCCAGTATGCAGCACATGCAGGACAACCAGGTGATCAGGCCCAGTCAGCATGGGTTTATGAAGGGCAGGTCATGTTTATCAAACCTGATCTCCTTCTATGACAGGGTGACCCACTTGTTGGATGAGGGAAAGGCTGTGGATGTCATCTACCTCGACTTTAGTAAGGCATTTGGCACTGTTTCCCATGGTGTTCTCCTAGAAAAATTGACTGTTCTTGGCT